TTTTTTTTTTTTTTTGCAAGTTTAAATTCTCTCATTATTTCTTTAAATGTCATATTGTGCCTTATATGTACACATCTATGTAAGAAATTGATAGTATTAGTGAAGAAAAGTGTCTAAGTAAAAAACATATTTGATTACATTTTAAAGAAATAAGGTGATGTCCAACTGTCTACAGATGGGCATTGGGTGAGTCTTAGTACTTTCATCAGAGCAGAATTTGTTATTTTTGTTTATGAACTGCTGCTTCTGGGGAGTCACTTGATAAGGGAGACAAGCTAGTTTCTCCCCTGGGTGAATGAAAAACCACCAGATGTCCCAAGCGCAAAAGAGGTTGGTCTGGCTGATCTCGGAGCGCTTCCTGATGACCATGGCCCATTTGCATCCTTGCCCCTGTACTGCACCACCCTTGGCAGCTGTCTCTTCCTAAATGCACATGGAAACAGTCCACAGGCCTGGGGCCCCAGACCCCAGGTCTCCACCCGAGGCTCTGCCACAGGTCAGAAATGCTAGTCTCACTTTGGCCGCCGTGTCCGTGGTTACCATAAGAAACAAATATCACTACAGCCCTTCCCTCGCTCCCACTCCACTGAGAGCCTTTTTGAGTCTGACATACCCCCCACCTGCCCAGCACCCTACCCTTCCCCTCAGGCTGCAGCCCTGTATGGACACCTAGACGTTCTGGGGTGAGCCCTGCCTCTAAGACCAGCTCTCTAAGAAACCAAATGCCTCCCTCTCCACTCTGCTGCCAGAAGCTTCCCTGCTGTGCTACTCACTCCCCAGGGCAGTCAACTGCTGCCAGCTCTCCCACCCGCTGCTGCCCACCCGGTCCTTCCTCTGGTTTCCCCAAAGTTGCACAAGTTGTCACAACCATGACCTTCACGCTTTACCAATCCCCCCGGACGTTTCTGGATTTCCACCCAAACTGTGGCCCACCCTCGATCTCTTCTTCCCTGTTCAGGGAATGTCCTCTGGTGAGTTATTAGGAAAAATGCAATGGGACAGCTCCCATTCCATTGACAGGGGCCTCGTCGATCCAACAGCGTTTTTATCTGATGGGACACACCTAGAATCGAGGTTCACACTCTTATCAGCTTTTCTCTACAAGCAGCACGGTGCCACGCACTGAAAATGGAAAGTCACAGCTAGTCTCACAGTGACCCCATCAGATGGATGGCTACCACTGGCCATTCCCTTTACAGACGAGGCTACTGTGGCTCTCTTCAATGAACTTGGCCAATGTCACATCGGGAGTGAAAGAATCAAGATTCGAACCCAGGTCAGAGCCTGATCCTTCAACACCCCTCCAGAGGATACAGCCCCAAAGTCCGGTCATGGCCATAGGTGGGTGGCGTGGCCATAGGGAGCTGGGCCACCTCTCCATCTGAGGGTATGGTGACCCACGTCAGGATGGAATGCCAGTGCTTTTAATTTTTCAAGGGATGGCCACAAATCTAGATGTTGGTGTGTGTGTGTGTGTGTGTGTGTGTGTGTGTGT